TGTGCGACCACTTTAGGGATTCATAATATGAATTTCATATTCATCCTATAATTTCAATGGCTTATGGCTTATGTGTGTAAAGTCACTAAATTTTCAATCTTATCTCATCTCTAACTTTGAACACATTCTCATTGAATCCAAACCTAATTCGTGAATAACTTTTACTTTTCATGTAATTCATCTATTTATTAGTTTTGAATCATTTGATTGTTTTCTAAATATCACAATTCAAGTGGAATACACGTATCAATGCTTTGGGTAAGAAAATAAGTGTAGTTCCCTTAAAACCTTTGAATTAGTAATTAAAGTACCTGTCCTTGAGTTTCAGTTTCGATTTTATTCTCGATTACAAAATTCATTTAAAAATTATATCAAAATGTTGCGAAAATTTCGTGCCTATTAATTAATTATATTGATTTTTATAATATCAAGTTAATAATAGTTGTCTGTCTAATATACACATGTGGTCAAAGCTAATCTATAACTAAGCTTATTGTGAACATAATTAATTTATAGTGGCTTTCCATAGTTTGCGTACATTTGTTGTTAAATGCAGATCTTTCTTGAATCTTATGTATTGCTTGAATTAATTTGTTTAGAAAATTCGTATAAACTATAAATGAGTAGTTGTTTATCAGTTTATTTAAGCTTGTGGAAACTTTTCCATCTCATACTGTAAATTATTAGTATAAGTATAGTATTCAGTTAGTATAGTTAGTATAGTTAGTATAGTTAGTATAGTTAGTATAGTTAGTATAGTTATTTATGCGAACAATTTAAATGAATTGCATTTTAAGTCTGTTTTAAATTTTTAAATTTACAAATATAAGTTACAACTTTTATTTTATTTTGTAAATTAAATTGTTAATTAAATAGTAAATTCTATGAAATAATTATGTGAACACAGTATTTTTATAAAGTAATATGATTTTCTAATTTAAAATATTTATTTATCGGTACATTGAAGGTAATTATGATTATTTTATTAAATTTTAGCTAATATTTAAGAAATGATTTAAATGTATCATAATTTTTTTGTGAATGTATTTAAATTTTAAAACTATTAAATTTTAAAAATCAGATAAATTATGGATAACTTCGAAGTGCCGACAATCCCGAAGATATTTGTTCCGCAAACTATTTTCACAAAACCTGAATCTCGGAGTTCATCGAAAAACTTGGATTCTTCGGCCAAGTCTTCAAACTCGGGAAACACGACTCAAACGACAGAATCTAATTCATCGGTCAAACCAACACTCCATAAGGAGACGAGAGAAAACACGACACCTTTGCCCTCATTCCCAGCGCCGCCACAGTTATGCGCCTCCTGTTCCCAAGTCTTGTTGCAATACTTTGTTCCCCTCCAACACTATGTCAACGAAGTGATTAAAATAACCCGCGGAGGAGATAATGGAATTCCTATCACTCCACTCGTTGCCATCCAATCCACAACCACTAGCGCTGATGTCTCGAGCCTTCAAAATGTAAATAAGTCTTCCGATTATAACAGAGATGAACAACATTTGAACACAAACTCCGGCAATGAATCGATAAGTGAGACCAAACACACGGATGATAGATCTCATCAACAATTTAATCAAAGGGTAACCAATGATGGCTCAGACGCTACCAGAAATGATAATTATGATAATCAATATGTAAATCAACAGCAGAACCATAATTATGACAACAATTCCCACCAAAGAACAAATGAAAGCAATGGAAGCAATGGAAGAGATGGCCAACAAAGCGATTCCAGAAATTACAGCCAAACTTCAGAACCGACACATACTTCACGAACGAGTGAATCGATTGGAAACTCTAGACAACAGCATAATGTCTTTGAAGGCAATCAAACCAATGAAACTCAGAGATCNACTTCACGAACGAGTGAATCGATTGGAAACTCTAGACAACAGCATAATGTCTTTGAAGGCAATCAAACCAATGAAACTCAGAGATCCGAAGAGTCGAGAGATGATAGAAGTGGAAGAATAAGGGGACAAATGGAGTCAACAAACAGTAACACATCTCATGGTAATAGAGGTCCGGAAGCGTATAATTTTGAGAGGAAAGAGTATCACTCGTCGGACAATACAAGGGAACAGAACTTATCACAGAATTTGATGACTGATAGGAATGACGGCAACGAAAACTCGTGGACCGAAGATGTCTCGTCTCCGTACGCTTTCGTCACAATCGCTTACAACAACTTAAGCGCAACCAATGCTATAATTTTGGCCAATTCTCTAGTTATTACTAATAATAAGTCTATGAATATTACCGATACAAATGGCGACAAAGTTTTGATTCAAATACCATTTGTTATTCTAATCGGTGGTAGCATTGATCCCATCTTAAAGGATGCAATTTATATGATCTTTGATGAGGTACTGTATTTGTTCACTCCCATTGCTATAATATTTATTTTAGAAGTTAAGAAATTTTTTAATATTTAATTTTTAACCAAAAAGACTATACTAACGAAAACATTTT